GCCATCGCTATTAGGTTGGAGGCCGTTGCTATTAGGTTGGAGGCCATTGCTATTAGGTTAGAGGCCATCGCTATTAGGTTGGAGGCCGTTGCTATTAGGTTGGAGGCCATTGCTACTAGTTTGAAGTCTCGGGGCGTTGCAGATACAGCGGGACCTTAGACGCCGACCTGGTGACCCGCGCGATCTGTGCGGGCTTCGTGGAGTCCCTCCAGCGGATTACCTGAGAGTTGTTTTCACAATATGTTCACAAGTTGGAAAACTAATTTTGCAGGAAGGATAGGAAGTGGCAGGAAACGGCATAGGTGAGATGTAATGTATGAAATCTCGTTTATCAGGCTGCGAGAGCATTGCCTGGTCTTTGGCCAAGCTTGGCCCATGCCAGGACACCTGAGCCTTGCCATAGGCTTGTGGAGAGGCTTGTTTGCATAAGTCCATGGTCCACGGTCCATAGAGGTGCATTCGTGCAACAATCGGACTGTCTGAGGACAGTCATAAGGGCTGGAAACATGCATCACTTCGGAAGAGGAACGCGGCAAATGGGATTTGGTGGGAAGGGCTCTTTGACTATTCGCCAACATCGCAACATAGTGAGTATTGTGTAAAGGAAGGGACACTCCTAGGAGTAAGTTTCCCTCAAAATCTAGGAACCAAATGAATAGTGCGAGCGCTTTTTCAAGGAAACTCCCTCGGGAGGAGCTTCCTTGAAGAATCGTGACCTATCCTGCGTCCTAGCTAGTTCTTCTATTGCTAGTGGCTTACCTCCTTACTGAATGAAGAAGGCGCCTACTTAATTGAGGGTGGTCTTAAAAACATCCGAGTAACTCGAGACTCGATGCCAAGCAAAGGCCCAGGGATCCCTTCCTCCCGCTGCCGCCCGGGCCTTAGTGTTTCCTCATCCGAGACGAGCTGCCTTCCTCGTGTGCAAATGAGGCCTGGCGGGCCCCCCGGCGTGTCCTTCTCACAGATGGTGGAGGCTTGGTCAGATGGTTGGAGAAACATATTTCATGCAGCAAAGATGTGGCTTCCTTGCACTATGTTACTGTTTTTCCAACAAAGCGGATCCAACCTCCAATATCAATGGAAGTCAATCTACCTCACACAACCAATAGGCCCTTCAAATCGTGTGTAGTCTTTCTTTGGATCCGCTCAGGCAATTGTGGCAACCGCCCTGCTGGGGATTTGTCCCTGGGCGGAGATCAGATTGGACATCTCTCGGAGATGCGTCAATGACACATCGTTCCTAGAGCCGACTAGAGGAGATTGAGGAGAGACTCAGTCAGAGACAAACTCTTGGACTCCTTCAACTGGATGGGGCAAGTTCTCGTTCTTCCATCAATCCGAGGTGTGATGTACTTCTACAAGCGCTCCTTGACCCGGCATGTTCACACAGCTCTTCGGGAAGAGGTGCACAGTGGGACATCTTGATGCGTGTAGCAAAAGGCTATTTTGGAGACTAGCGACTTTGTAGAATCTTGCAGACAAAAGTTTAGAGTTTGTCCGCCCACCAGCAAGCGATTTGCTCTGACCACCATAGGTTCTCAGGTACGACTCGCATTGTATGAGACCTGCCAATCGCGTGCTGACTTCTGTGTTTCGTAGAGAGTGGGTTTGAGCCTCCCTGTTTTTCGCTTTGTTGCAGGTGATGCTGGAAGTCCAGTCGGAAATGGCTCGGTGCGCCACTTCTGTTGGAGACCAGAGACCTCAGAGGTTGGACTTTCATGATCAAGCCTCACTTAGCAACTTTCAGACCTTCAATTAGATGTCCGGGAATGATACAAAGCTCTAGGTCCAAAAATCTAGGAACCCAATCATTACAATCATCAATGCGAGCGCTTGTTCAAAGAAGCTCCCCTCCGCCCTCAGGCGGGGGAGCTTCCTTGAAGAAGCGTGAGCTATCCTGCGTCCAGTTACTAGAAGTTAACTTGGCCTAGTATACTTCTCCCTTACTTAATTATACAGGCACCTACTGCTACATTAAGTAGGAGCCTTTTTTTAAAACAACTATCTGAAGGTACAAACAGCTGGAGTCTTGAGACGCGGGCTCTCTGAGCGGCGGAGGGAGACGCCGATCTTCTTTAGGAAGTTACAACCAAAAGACGTGACACCACTGAACTCATCCAGAAGCTACTAGTAACGAGTGCCACGCTAGTAGTAACAGGTGCCTTAGTAGTAGTAGTAGTAACAATGTTCGCTATTGGAAACAAGTGCCTTACTACTAGTAACAATAAGAATTTAAATAGAATTGTAATTACTAGCAAAGGAGAACCAAAAGACGTGACACCACTGAACTCATCGGTTTACTGCATATTTGTTGGTTGAAGTTGGTTGTTTCGTTTGCTGGACACTTCCAGACTCAAGACATGTTTGCCTGATTGGATGCCAGGTGTGCCATCTCTCACATTGTCACCCCAACTGGCCCCAACTCATTTAGAGCCATCGGTCATCTTGAGGCCACCTGACATGCTCAAAGCTTTTGCCACAGCCAAGGGGCTTGCAAAATTGCAGTGTACAGAACTCTGCACGAAAGACGAGGGGCAAGACGTTTCTGCCACAAACCAAGCAAACCTAGCCGCACTAGCTTTCTGTCCAAGGATTTGGGGAACCGACGGCTCTCTAGCCATGGTTAGCATCACTGTTGGACACCTACTCTGGCATGTTGTTGGATGCCAAATGCAACGTCGACCCCAAATGCAGATGAGTGAAGCCACCAGTTACAGGATTGCCTGCATGTGATACTTTTGAATTGAAGATCGCCCCCTCAAGAAGCAAGCCTTGAGCATTTTGATCTTGTCTTAGCCTGGATGGGATTTCGGCTGCGCCGGCTCAAGACTTGGGACTACCACAAGGGGGATGTGCTGGAGAGGCCAAGAATAGCTGGAATGCGTGCACAATCTGTTTACAGAGATGAGAGGAGCATCCACCCAGTTGTGTTCGCCCTTGCCGACAGTCTTTGGGGTCAAGAAGGTGTTAGACAAGGAGTATTACAATGTCTGGTTGAGGTTTTCAATGTTTTCAAGCAAGTGCTTGGAAAGTCAACTGTCAAACTAGTCTAAATATTTGATGAGGTCTGGGCTTCAAAGAAATTCCGCTCCTATGGGCGTTTGAGTTCAAGCTCCGATTCGACACTGTTTCCTGCTAGGCCAGATGTTGAGCGATTTGCGCTGGCCACTGTTGCTGGTGGGCCTTGAAAAAGCGATTTGCCTGATCAATATAGTAGAAACAATAAGCTACTAGGAACAAGTGCATCGCTTCTAGTAACAAGTGCCTTACTAGTAGTAACAAGAAGCTATTAGAAACAAGAAGCTATTAGAAACAAGTGCCACGCTAGTAGTAACAAGTGCCTTACTAGTAGTAACAATGTTTGCTACTAGAAACAAAGGGCATCAAGATTGTTGGGGCCTTTGAAACTCAATTTGCCAATCTCCAGGTGCTTGCCCAAGCAAGGTTCGAGGCGGGAGCCCAACCGCTGGATGAGCAAGGATGAGATTATAGTGTTTATGCTTTTCCACTGTGCTTACGTTTCTATGCATCTAGACATCCTTCCAAAATGCTACAATCAGCGTCAGAAACTCTGAGAGAGCCATGTAAGACTTGCCTCAAAGCTGAGCGATGGTCTTCAGGCTCATGTCATCACAGATCGAGGTTGGGGGACAAAATGGACACAAAGCCAAGGAGAGTCAGACTTGAATCGTGTCAGAACCTTTGTGTCAGACTTGGATTGGACACGGGACACATGTAACACTTCAGGCATGGGACAGATGCTGTTCACACATGCAGTGTTGCAGGAGAGAGTGTGGCGTGGAGAGTCGCAAAGCACTGTAATCTCCTGCATCAGTAGCTCAGATATCGTTGAAATTGAATTCAAATAGGTTGGAACATGGCCTCCACCCTAGTGGCGATGGCCTCCAACCTTACTAGCGATGAACAAGTTGTAACATCAAAGAGTTGGAACAAGTTGGAACCACTTCCTGTTGCAGTCCTGAAAAGAGCGGGACATTTGCCCAGTCATGTTGCCGGGGTACTCAGCGGACTCAGCGGTAGCAAGACCAAGTTCTGGAAAGTCGTTTTCCTCCAATCTGGGACTGTCCTTTTCTTATTATTTGTTTCTAATAGCAATGGCCACCAACCTACTTGCGATGGCCTCCAACCTAAGTTAAAATTGATTGTGTCCACAAACTTCCAAGTTTCGCTCACTTGCTTACTGTATGTGTTTGTGTATTATAGCGGTGGCCAAGGGCGAGACGCCTTAGGCTATCGCAAAAGGAAAAGGACAATATTTTTTGTCTCAATCCGTACCTTGGAAAGTTTTGTTGATGAGTTGAATCCCCAAATTGGCATGCTCCTGAGTCCTTCGCTTCAGGAAATGAAGACGGCGGCTTGACAGATTTGGTCCGTTGTCGATCCAGCCTTTGACAATCTTGACAGCTAGCTTTGATTGCACCAACAGCCAACTGTGCTTCTTTGCACTTAGTCCAGGGTGAACAGGGCCTGCTTTTCATTTTCCAGTGGTTGGGTCATGTAGCACATGACGGGGTGCTCAAGTTTGCCTTGGTTCAAGAGAACACATTGTTTTATTTTCAAGTAGGATGAAGTGGTTTTTGACTTGTTTTGCTCTCTCAGCATCCCTCTCGACAAATCCTTGAAGAATCTACGACTCATCTTCCACTCTCGAAAACTGTCCAAATAACACGAAAGCCCTACCTTTTCAGGCGCTGCATGCCATCGACACTTGGCACATTGGAGATGGGCAAATAGGTGTACTGACTAGAATGCTTCGATAGCATGGACAATAGTAGTGATGGCCTCCACCCTAGTAGTGATGGCATCCAACCTACTAGCGGCCGCGCTGTTTACCTCTACCTGAAGCGATGTTTGCACGTTAGAAATGGACATTCTTTTGATCTTCGCACGCTGAGCACATGAGGAAGATGTTTTCGGTTATGGTGATGCAGGTGCAACGGTGCAACGCTGCTTTGTCATAAGCTTTTCCAGTGTGTCTGATAGTGCTATGTGGGGTGGCCTTCTGATGAAGTGCATTGTATCAATAAACATCAAAAACAAAGGAAGAGAAAAGGAAGGAAGAACGAAGTGGTACTTCACCATAATTGCATGAAACTTCCTTGAGATGTGTTTGTCCTGACAGCTCGATGCGGCGTGGTGGCGGAATTGCACGAGACAGCCTGGAAGCCATACGAAGGCGGCGATGTGCTTCCCTGTTGCTCGAGCTGCAGAGATTACCAAAGACCTCCCAGTCTACAAAGATTCTCTTTGTTTTCGACGATGATTTGCTCTTTCTCGTTCTTTAGGCATCTGAACCTTGCCTTTGTCCTTTCCTTTCCTTCCCTTCCCTTTTCCTTTCCTTTTACGGAGACCACCCTCCTTCTGGGATCCCTGTTGCTGAGGTGGCAAACACCTCGCCACCAATTGCACCATCAGCTACCATCAGATGCATTGCCCTGAGGAGACCATCGGAGTGCCCAAGAAAACCCAACCCAACACCGAGAGAGCTTTCAACCATTCGACATCTTTCGACCAGTCTCGACATCTTTGCTCTTTGTCTTTCTTTGTCGCCGTAACAACCTAGTAGCGATGGCCTCCAACCTTTCGCTCTTTGTCTTTCTTTGTCACCTTGACAACCCAGTAGCGATGGCCTCCAATCTAGTAGCGATGACCTCGACCCTAGTAGCGATGGCCTTCTACCTTTTTGTCTTTTTTTCTTCCGATTTCTTCCTTGCTACTCAACCTACAACAAATCTTGAAGGCAAAGACAAATCTGGAAATGATGCACTATCAACTTGAACTCTCTTTCAGAAAGATTTCAGTTGTTTTGTTAATTGTGTTGCTTCCGGCTTCCGCCACCAACAGATTGTGTGGCGCTGTTACTTTAACACAATATGCATTTCGCCTCAATGATCCCATGTTTCATGTTTCATGTGGCCAATCTTGCCAGCATATTCTTTGAAAGCACTAGCTAGAAACTTGCGCAACAAGACTTGTGTGTTAAGTTGAGGTCTCTATCTATACCTGAATAGAATACCGTAGTCTTCGAAGCTGAGTGTTCTGTGGCCTGAATAAAGCATCCAATTGCGAGGAGTGTCCGTACCTGGCTCCTGACATGTTGGTGCCCTAGGACACAGGTTATCAGATTGTTTTGTACTTGTTGGAAATCGATGGAGGGTAGAAGCTCAGCACAATCAAACACCATTATACACCAGCAAGTCTGAATCACTTGAACCAATCTAGCACTTAGATCAGCGGGGCCAGATCAGTCACCTTTCCCTAATTTAGGTTATATTACTGAGATATACAGTTTTGATTCATTGTCAAGTAGACAAGGGTATTTGAGATTAAAGTATGTTTGTTCGAGCTTAAATTTGAATTGATTGAGATTTTTCAATGGTTTTTAATTTGTTAGCAACACGTTCAGTGAAAGCATTTTTCAGAATGTCAAAGAAGCTACTAGGAACAAGTGCCACGCTAGTAGTAACAAGTGCCTTACTAGTAGTAACAAGAAGCTACTAGGAACATCTTGTTATATACTACTAGTAAGGCACTTGTTACTAGTAGCGATGCACTTGTTACTAGTAGCTTATACACAAGCAAGTCTGAAAGCATTTTTCAGAATGTGCAATGTCAAATGTGCTCTTTTTTGGCATCGGAAGATCCATCCTTGAATGGTTCAAACATGAGCTTCGTTTGACAAAGACTCGAGTTGTCCACCCACCCAACAGCGTGAACCTTGCGAAGATGGGAACAGGGGGTGCTTCCTGATCAAATGTGTTTTTAATCCCCTGCCAATGGAGCAAGATGATGCCCGAGGCATTTTCCCTGCCAGTTCAGCTGTCACACAGCAGATGAGTGTGCAAAAAGCCGCTTTGATGCACAGTAGCTCTGTGACTCTGTGAACATGTTGCTCGTCTTTTGAGGATCATTTGGTTAGTCGATGCATTTCTAGTTGGGTTGAGATTAGGGTCGATGGGCTATTTCCAAGCGTCGGCACCTACCGCAAGGTAACGTGGATTTGGCCTATGCAGTCCAGGCCTTAGTGACCAAATCGCCCACCTTCGCCTTAGAGCAGCCGTCCCTTTGCGATCTCCCTAGTCAACAGCCTTCCCTT